ATAATAAACACTTAATTTTAAATTTTGATTTAATAGTATGGAGTCTATTTCCATACTATATATGAAATTAAATACTCTTTTTTTTATTATCTATTTGTTTATGTAATTATTTTTAACATACATAATATATTGTCAAAGATTATAAACTGTAAGCCTGTGTTTGGTGGAAGTGGGTACTAGGAAAAAAGATACTGCAAGATAGAAATGGGTTCTGTGAAATAGCCTGTATATTTCATAGACCTGTAGTTCTTATCTTTTTTTATATTTTATGCCACCCTCGAATTAGAGTTAAATTTATATTTGTATTTTAAAATATATTTTTGCATATAAGTTATAATTATATAAGATAAATAAGTATAATCACATTTAAGGACTTATTTTTGAATACATTATACTTATAATTTTTTTTATATTATTAGTAAAACAATTTTCTTTTTTTTTTTTTTTTTATGGCGATGGGAATATTTGTTCCCCCAGAACCCATATATTATTTGTGCATTGTTAAATTAAATAAAATTCAATGTATTTTTTAAGCTCTACTATTTTTTAAAAAGAAAATATTGTTTATCATTATTTTTTAATATGCATTAGTTATAATAAACACTTAATTTTAACTTTTGATTAAATAGTATGGAGTCTATTTCCATACTATAGATTAAATTAAATACTCTTTTTTTGATTATCTACTTCTTATGTAATTATTTTTAACATTCATAATATATTGTCAAAGATTATAATTAAATTTAAATTCATATTTAAAAGTCTTTGTATATCATTTATTATTGTACTAGTAAATAATTATAGTAATAAATATAACCTCACCTAATGACTTATTTTTTTTAATACAATTATCTTATAATCATTTTTATATCGGTAAAATAATATTTTTTTTAAGACTAATTTAACGGCATCAGTCATTGGTATAGACCTTATACTCATAGACCGGCTCTATGAATTAAAATCTGAACCATAATAGAGGGCGCTTTCAGCGTTATGATAATTGACGCACGATATAAAAATTATTGTGCATACCATAAAATATCTTTGTATAATATGAGTGTACGATTATTAGACATCAGCTGTTATTTGACTTTGTGACTTTTTCTGGTTTTAAATTTTTAACGATTTATACTTATATTCTATAATAGGTATAATATTATTTTAATAATTTTTCAATATGGTTCACAAATGCCTCATTCCATTTTGTAAACGAGGATATAATGACAACTATTCTCCAATCAAATTGCACAAGTAATTAATAAAACGTTAGTAAATATTGTAGTAATATGAATAAAAAAATAACAACAGAACTTAAGATTATAATAATATATAATATGACTATTGAATAATATTTAGTAATCATCTAAATGATTATAGAGATAATCTATTCGAAATTCTGTAATACGTTGAACAAATAAATACGGTAAGTGTAGGTATTGTTTTAAAATGTACACGAACACATTGTTATTGTCATTGTGATCGATAAGAGAATAGTGATTAATGATTATCACGAGCTGCAACGAACACATTCGCGTTACAATAATTATTGTTGTTGTAACGGGCGTGCGTTTTGTCGCGCGCGAACAGAAATTCGCGCGTGCGTGCATCGGTCACTTAATCGCGCCCTCCATCACGGCTCACGACGCGTAAAGTTCCCCGCACGCTGCCCCCCGGTGGCGATATTAAAATCGCAGACCGGAACACATTGCGGCGGTGGCGATTTTCATCCAGCGTAAACATAATGTATTTACATGTTACCATTGATTATAAATATTTAACACGATCGACGATGTTACGTACAATAATTGCGTAGCCGATCGATCAAACCCTATGCCGTCGATAAACTGACGATTTATTATCTGTAACAGCACTTCAAGTAGGTACTATGTTAAGCAGTGGCGTGCCGAATACAGGTCTAAACGATGCCCAGGCATCAAGCTAAAAAGGGGTGGGCGGTTGTTGGATAATAATATGTATGTAATATATGCATAATAATAATATGAATTCAAATATGGGCGGATGGTTGGTAAACTGGACTTTGCAATTGGCATCAAAAACATTTTTATCCCGGCACGCCACTGATGTTAAGCACTTACTACAACTATTGTACCATATCATTCATTTTTTTTTTTTTTTTTTTTTAATCAAGTCGAATAGCGTATTATAAACTATAACTCGAATAGTTCCTAGGGAATAATCGAAGTCCAGACCAATACACACCATATACATTAGACGGTATAGGTACACTATTAGCGTGTATTTGATATGTCGATTGGAAATACCGCGGAGCGGTGGCGGTGAAATCGAGCGTGTTGCGGTTTTTATAAACATCGCGGCGGCGATATTTTACCGCGGCCGAATCACCGCAGCGGTGCGCGGACTCCCGTTACAACACGCGCGTACGGATTTAACGCCACCGCGGCAGTGTGCGGGTGCACCTTAGGCCTGGTGCACACTTGCGTTATTTTAACGCGCGGCAACGCTGCGGCACCGCGGCGATGACGCCGTATTCAGTGCACACCTAGCGGCAAATATACATACCTATATACATATACATAACGTTATGTATACCAATATACATAACGTCATACATACGTACGGTCAGTACGACGTTGGAACGCAAACATAACACTTTTCTTTTGTGCAGTTTTGCAGTTTTCACTTACATATATTATTATTTACACACATTGTCAGTATGGATTTGACACAAGCGATGGAAATTTATAAAAGAAAACGTATTATTTTTGCGTACCTTGTGTACAAAATGACGATAGTGTGCACTGACCAATATGATACAATGAATTGAGCGACCGCAAGTGAAGGCGCGGTGACGCTGCGGTGCGATAACAACTTGCGACAAAAACTTTGTCGCAGACGGACGCGCGTCACCGCAGCGTTGCCGCTGTGATGTGTGCATTACGCAATTAAATTTTGGGTTTTCCATGCCGCGTTTGCGGTGCCGCAGCGTTGCCGCGCGTTAAAATAACGCAAGTGTGCACCGGGCCTTAATGTTGGTAATACGGGCAAGGCCGGTCTATGCGTGCAAGGTCTACGGTCATATTGGTACCCGTCCAGTCCTCGGCAATTGTATGTTTCGGTTGTCATGGATAAGGTTTTGAAGTTCCAAACTTTGATTTTATTCGTCCGTTTATACATCAAGGAGCTCTCGAGTTAACACGCGGTTGAAAATATTTATCAATAACCTTTGATCTCCGTGAGATATCTCATTTAAATCGATACGGATCCTGCAATCACACGAATCGCATTATTTTTTTTTTTTTCTACGCTATACACGTAAAAATTTATCTATTCAACTTTTACCGACATAAAAACATTGTTCTCGTCATCTGACCTTTTTTAATAAGTGTTAATACGTACAATTCGTCAAGTATGTTGTTATGAAATACTAAATTGCCAAACGCTCTACCATGTACTCGGTTTTTCGCCCAGTGTTTAGGCAAAAATTGCCAATCATTCAATTACTTCTTCTTAATGTTATGGCGAAAGTTGCCAAACCCTGGTTCTTGGTGAATACGGTCTTTGTAAATTTAATTCATGGTTATATAATTTTAATAACTTTGTTAGATTGTCTACATATTTCCTACTAAACTATTTGTATAATAAGAACATGAATTGCACCTTCTAAACATTTATTTCACACTTAATTCAGACTTCTAACCATGTTTAGAATTCGAATGTGTTATTTAAATGCCAGGTCGGTACGAATAACAAAACAAACGGTGGTATTTATGTTGGATCTATTTTATAATTATAGGTAGTTAGGTAGATTCAAACTACGTATGTAGATATAGATTAATTCAACAAATTGGCTTCAAAACCAAAGTTTAAGTATGACACAGAAGACACGAAAAGGGTGTTTCTGTTGTCAATAATTTAGTAAAAACGTGTATCAAGCAAACAAATTTTATCAAGTTCCCCGGTCTAGTTTACAGATCGTGGTCGAAGGAATTCTAATTTTTATATAAATATTAT